ATCAGAATGTGTTCTGATTTTGTTTTTGTTTCTTAAGTAACATACATAATAATGTAGTAAAGGCTTTCTTTTATTCATGAATAAAAAATTACAAGGGAGATTTTTTCAGAGGCACGAGCATGTTAGGTATTAATCGACTTTCAGTGGGAGTCAGGAAAAGCCACAGTGATCACCCAGTCTCACTATTAATCTGGAAGCAAGACACTGCTGCTCCCGGGGAAGGCAAGTGTCTGCTGAATGCTAGATCTTCCTCGGTGTGAGATGGGCTCTATAGAAGAGTGCCCCTCGCCTAGGGAAGGCCTGTTACTTTAGATATTGGAAGAGTGAATAAGTATCTGGACTACATAAAGGGGAAAAGAAAAACTTTTGTTGTTTGCCTCTAAACTTTTGTTGTTTATCTCTACATTTTAAGATTCATATGTACATCAGCACCCCCATTCATTTGATACAGTCAGCAAATCCCATGCACACCCAATTTTTCAACAGTAAGTCTACAGTGCCCTCTGGTGACTATCAATGAAAGCTCCTAGATACTGTATCCTCAACACAAATACAAGAGGCACTGCCTTTCAGTGTTTCGCAGGTATCCCAAACTGCTTAATTTCTCAGGTTCACAGCCTACCCTGATCTATGCATAACAAAGGTGAGCAAAATAAAACAGAGAAGCCCCTGAGCTTGGATGGGAGAGGGCTGAACAGAAGCATACTCCATGCTGCCCAAAGGCTACAGATGCCCTACTGCTCTATTTCATCAAGTTCGGGGGTCTCCAGCACTGGGGGAGTCTGCCAAAATGTAACAAGAGCAATTCTGTTGCCATCTGCTCCCCAACTAATGATGCATTACCACTGCTGGAACCTCATGAGAAAAAATAGCTTAACCCTGTTCCCTTTGTTATGTTTTTGCTACGAGACAAAAGACTGCTCTAATTTCTTCTTCTTATGTATCATAGGAAGTTTAAAGAAACCTCAAGAGGCCATCTAATTCAACCCTCTGCTTAAGGCAGGAACCCCCTGCTCAAGGGGGATTATGGTAGGAGTTAGGTAATTACAGAAAGTAATTCTGCTGTCTTTTAACTTTCTCTTTTATGAACTGAATGGAGATCCTTTTGGCTCTCAGTGTAAGGCAGGTTCCAGGAACTTTTCTCTAAATTGCTTCTAATTTTTCAGACATCCTTTCTTAAAATTTAAACACCAGATCTGTTTCAAAGATACAGCCATTCCTATCCACCCACATAGCTAAAAAAACCCTCTTTTCAGGCTCTTATCTCCTGGCTCCATTATAGAAACATCTTTTTATTGTCTCAAGAAATGCAGCTTTGCCCTGCTCACAGTCATTCACAATATAGCCACAAAGATCATTTTCCTAGTCAGCTGGCTTGACCACATCATCTCTGTTTTTGCTTCTCTTTACTGGTTTTCCCTTCTCCCTTGCAGTAAACACAAGCTACTTGACTTAATTTCAACTATGCTTATGGTCTAACCCTCACCGTACCTATCGTCTCTCAGCATCACGAGGTCAACTGTATCAAGAAGATGCAAATAATAAGGAGTGAGATGAATGGGGCACTAATTTGGCTGAGGATAGGCACAGGATGCTGGCTTCCAAATGTACTTCACACACCACTATGATTTCTGCCATGGTGTCTTTCACATATGGAAAGACCTTCCTATAAACATCCCCAATGCTACCTCATTACCCCACATCAAACAAAAGTTCCTTAAAACTTCTTTGCCATGGTGCCTGCAGAAAACTCTTCAAGGGTTGATCTACTATTTGCTGCCCACTATGACTGTCATAAAAGGGTTGGCTGAATAATCCTTGTGCCTCCTGCCAGATGGAGCCGTAACACAGAATGTGAGGAGGGACGGCTGGTGAAGAAATCTCTCTGCAGTGTGCTTGGGCAAAACTAAGGTTTGTGGTAAGTGTTTTGTAATCATCCTTCACAGCTGATTTAAGCAGAGAGAACAGAACTCATCTCCATGCTAAGTTTTCAAATAACCAATTTGCAATTTGACAAGCTTTCTACCTCCGATGCCAGCTAAAGGCTCAGTGGTTAAGACTTGCTATAGTACGAAAGAGTCAGCATAATGCAAAACATTCACACTATGTAAATACTATGCCAAATACTTAGGGCACCCTTCCTACACGGTTAGTGTGCATTCTTCCAATGACTAGACAGCTACGGTTACCAGGAACAACATTTTCCTAGCAGATTCATTACTAGACGTGGACCGTGTGATACTTTTTCCCCCTCTGTACATTACAATTTCCTACGTGCAACTTCTATTGTATTATTGAGAACTCGGTATTAAGAAGCTCACAGAACTTTAGCAGAGATCAACCATGCAGACTTTGATTCTATAAGCAGATCATACTTTCAAATCCAAAATTCAGTTGGTACAATTTATCTAAGACAAAAAGATAAATTTGCTTAGTTTGGCATGTAGCCAAAGTAGCTAGTAGCCTCTGAAACTATTCTGTTGAAGGAGAGGGATTAATATTTACATATAGAACTGCACAAACCCTTGAAAAAAGAAACTAGTTAGGAAAAAAATGCTTAACAAAACTAAATTTTTCAAAATGACCTACATGATCTAGAGTCTAAGTTTAGTTTACAGAAGTGATCTAGGCCCATTTTTAAGGGCAGTATGGTGCCTGAAACACAGGTTGATGCCCCATGACATCTAAGCACCTAAAAATAGATTTGCATTGGGCTTGTCTGTATCTTTAAGTGTCTAAATCATATTAAAAGCATTACTTAGGAACTTAAGATGTATAGAAGGTCAGTACAATTTAGGAACTTTAGTCACTTTTGAAAACTGTACCCCACATTTTTGGATGGAACCGAATTAGCAACTAGTTGAATGTCAATGCACATCCTTCTGTAATCATGTCAGCCTACAACAGGATACATCTCCATAGCTAAAAATCAAGCAGAAAATGCAGATGCATTTACATTACTGCAGTGTGATGAGTATTCACAAAACACCTCTGAAAACACAGAGTTTTGTAAAACGGAGGAGGAGCAGGGATTTCAATTGCCTATTGAAAACTAGGCTCCTTTGGAAATATATTTTCTTTTGGAGCAAGTTATTCCTAGTGGCTTTCTGCCAGCATTTGAACAAGATCATTATCCTCTGGTTTGCTGAACGTGATCTCCCACGTTCTATTCTCTTCTGTGCTTTCACAAACGAAAGTCATTACAAGGGTAGTCCCTGGAGATAGGCTCCAGTCAGATTCATTTGTGGAGATAACAATGTTATTTTAATACATTTAAGCAGAGAACTATTTACTTTGATACTATGTAGCTAAAGACTACAGAATACTGTGACAAATCAAAAAATCAATTGGGGCCAGTCAAAAGCTTTTAGATTTCTAGAAAAATACAAACGGGACCATAGTAACATGAAAGGAAGCAATTTGGGTACAACCACCACAAACAAGCCAAACCATAGATACAAAGTACATTTTTTAGGTCCAATGCCAGAGAAATAGCTCTTCATCTTCTTAACTATCCAAACCTGATTCTCTTCCCACTTTTACTGGGTTTAAACCTCAAAAAAATCTACTGATTTGAGTGCTGATGTTATTCATTTGGGGTTTGAGTCAACTGTTGAAGTCACTGAAAAGTATTTCAGGTTTCATTTTCTCCACTAAGCTTAGGATCAGGCCTTTGCACCAGCATGTGTTGGAAGAGAATCAAGGCCATTGTCCCCTGGTTCCAAATGTTCAATTGCTCTCTGACACTGAAATTTCTCTCTTTCCCCCTTGTGTGTATTTTTCTGTAGCACACATTATCACTTGCTAAATATATTACATTCATGTCTCACAGTCAATATATTTGAAAGCTTTCTGTGTGGCCTCAATTACGGCTGAATCATTTTTTCTCTGAATACCAGTTTGAAAAAATGGATGAGTGTCTGGGCCCAAATGATTTTGCACTTGTTGCCAATGTAAAATCTTTATACATCTTGCTAGGAATGTTGAAGTGGAAAAAGAACCTGGGCAGCAGAGCAAAAAAACAGGAATAACAGTAAAGCATCTAGCAATGTGAAAACATTTAACAGTTACACTATTCCCCAGGTCTCCAGTCCTACAGCGTGTGATATGGAGCACTCTCTGCCCATCAAGTTCAGTGAGGCTCCATGCCAACTTTTGTACTGATCAGTAAGCATGATTAGGGACTAAACTTGATCCAAAACTTGTTTAAGTCAATGGGATTCCCAGTGGCTTCCGTGGTCTTTGAATCAGATCCTAAGATATCACCACCAGTGAGAGCAGCTGGTCAGGTGGAACTGTGTTATACTTGGCAAAGATAGCTGCTTCCATCAGCCCCTCAGACAGTGGCATAGTGTAGTGGACGGCCAAAGGGTTTTTGCCTTTTACAAAGTTACCAAACAGCTGTTTAAAGCTTTCTCCACCCATAATTACAGACCATCTCTTGAGATCTTTGCTTCCTTCCATGCTAATCAGCTTGATATATAACTGTAGGAGCAAGGTGGCAGATTAGGGGAATGAAGAATCCTTTTACCTCCTAAAGCTTGAATCATATCCTGGCATGTGTCAGAAGTGGAAATGAGACTTGTGATCTCTATGTTATCTATTAAGGACATTAATTCACATCAGCAGTGGCCAGCTGTTGCCCTCAGAATCCATCATCCTTTCTTATTGACAGGAATTGACAGGAGTATTCATATATATCAAAGGGCACATGACTTAAATATCAAGAGTGCTACATATTAGGTGTGCCAAGCGGGCCCTATTCAATTCGGATTAGGATTCAGCCCAAATCAGGGACAATGATTTGATTTGTTGATTTGGATCACTGTCCCTGATTCGTTTCAGCCGAATCCAGATCTGAAGATTCAATGCTGATTCAGAGAATCAGTGATTTGGACACAGACACAGCTTTAAAAGGTTTTTCTACATACCTTGAGCAGGCACGGCTCACGATCGCTGCAATGCTGGGGCACATGGAGTGTCCCACAGGAGTGCAGGATGGCCTTCCACGTGCTCGGCGGTGAACTCAGAAGTGGACAGAAGTACCTCCTCTCCACTTCTGGGTCTGCTGGGGACTGCGCACGGGGGGACCTGGGTGCACCCCTCCCCCCCCACAGACCCAGGAGGCACCAGTTGCCGAGCCCCCTGTGCACTCCCCGGTGGACCCAGAAGTGGACTGGGCATGCTTCTGGTCCACTTCCAGGTCTGCTGCCGAAAGCGCTGGGGAGTCCCCCACGCTTCTGTGGGATGCTTCATGCACCCCAGCACCACAGCACTCAAAGCCCCTGCTACCTAGAGGTATGTAGAAAAAAACATTTCAAGCTGTGTCTATGTCCGAATCTTTCTGAATCTCTCCGAGATTCAGAGGGTTCCAATTAGATTCAGAGAGATTAAAGGATCCTCTGATTCGATTCGGCTTAGGAGATTTGCCCACCGAATTGGGCCAAATCTCCGCCGAATCAAATCAGGGACTAAAGTTTCACACAGCCCTACTACATATAAGGCTGAGAAAGAACTTCACTAACCTGCATTGCTTCTTATGAACAAATCTCACCATAGCATCTGTGTACCTTCCCATTTTGATGTGACTGACATCTCTAGTGGAGTTTCTGTGTAGGGCAACATGCAAAGAACAGGCCAGATCCTATTCAATCTATTAAGTTCCTAAATGAATTCAGGCAAATAAGTGGGATCTACCCACGATGGAATAGGATCTGGCTCAACATATCCATAGTATATGTTACTCTTGCCAGATTTATTTGGTTCATTGTTTTTAACACTGTTACTTGCACATACATTCACAAATTAAAAAGAACCAGAGGGAAAAAAAAAATACATGCTTGGAACATCTATGTTCACCCACTATGTAAAATATTCACCAAATGTTGATGGATTGATTCAATATTCGCTGATGTCTATGTTTCACTGACTTCAGTGGGAGTTCACTTAGGCAATAACTGCATTAGGCTTAATTCTAATCTTAGTTATCTTAGTTATATTGGCATGAACTCAGAAGAAAGTGCAGTGAAGTTGCTTGTTTGCACAGATGTAACGAAAATCAGAATCAGAATCTGGCCAGCTGGTCAGACTGCACTGAGCTGCCCATTGGTGAGAAAAGCAATGTGGGCTGGAGGCTGGACCGCTAGACAAGGTTTCATTCCTGACACTACCACTGACCTGCTGGGTAACCTTGGGTGTGTCACTCAATAACTTTTTGCCTAAATTTGCTCATCTGTAAAATGAGGTGATACTTTCCTCTTTTATAAAGTATATTAGTATCTATTGATTAAAACACAGAATAATAGAAAATTAAGGTTGCAAAGGACCTCAGGAGGTCACCTGCTCCAACCCACTGCTCAAAGCAGGACCATCCCCAACTAAAATCATTCCAGTCAAAGCTTCGTCTAGCTGGGTTTTGAAAACCGCCAAGGATGGAGCTTCCACCACCTCTCTGGGTAACCTGTTCCAGTGTTTTACTACCCTCCTAGTGAGAAAATTCTTCCTAATATCTAACTTAGACTTCCCGTGCTGCAACTTAAGACCATTGCCTCTTGTTCTGTCATTTGCCACCACTGAGAACAGTCTAGCTCTATTCTTTTTTGAACCCCTGAAGCTGAAGGCTGCTATTAAATCCCCTCTCAGTCTTCTCTTTAGACTAAATAAGCCCAGTTCCCTCAGTCTTTCCTTATAAGTCCTGTGCCTCAGCCCCCTCACCATTTTTGTTGCCCTCCGCTGGACTCCCTCCAATTGACCACATCCGTTCTGTAGTGCATTATATAAGTGTGCCAAAAATGTGTGCAAATTATTTGCAAAATGGGGAAGGCCAAATTATTTGCAAAATGGGGAATTTGAGCTGGAGTTCCTATGGGAAGTGAAAGAAACTCAGGGGCTTCCCAAATAATAACAGGGAGAAGGTTCAGCAACATAGAAGATGTTGCCCTTCTCTTTTTTCTTCTATAGTCTAAAGGAAATCTGCACAATTGAAATCTAAACCAGGTTAGATGTTGGTAAATTAAGCCTAATCTTTCTCAAATAAAATATAATGGAGATTAATATGGCTACATTGCACATACAGAAGCTTTCTTTTATTATCTGCTTATTTTGTTAAATTTGTAGTTGAATGCAGCCCTGAGTGTATGGCTCAGAAAATGTGAAATGTGTCTGCATTAACATTCTTGAGCAACCCTGGCCAAGGTTTTTAAAAGCAATTGCAAAAATCTCTTATTCTGGATTAAATGGCTCGTTTAGCAAAATATGGAGTACTTCACAGGTCCTAATGAAACCAGTAAGAGCTGCTGGATGCTGGGTGTATCTACATGTGCCATTAAGATGACGTTATAAACTATGGCACAAGCAGATACTCCCAGGTGCAGTATTTGCATGTGCACCTGGGACTACAGCAGTTTGAGCTGGGACAGAGCAGCCCCAGATTGGCAACAGGCTGGGGAGGAAGAAATGGGCAGCCCCAGGCTCCAGGTGGCAGCACTGGACAGCAAAGAGGCTGGCTGGGGCATGAGAGGGCCGAAACTGCAGAGCCATGTGGCTGACCCTCCAAGCCTGCTGCCAGCCTGGGGCTACACCACCCCAGCTCAAACTGCTGTGCATGTGCAGATGTGTGTTTCTGCACAGTAAGTTACTCTGCTGTAAGATAGTACTGTTCCTGACAGTATTATCTTACAGCAAATTAATGAATTTACTGCGTCCTAATACCCAGCATATGAAGATGGTGATGCTTTACTGCGGAGCTAATTAGTCAACTCCACAGAAACCACATGTGTAGATGCACCTACTGAGTACTCTCTGAAAAGCAGGACAATACTTTGGAAACTGCACTTTCAAATATTGGGTCTTAGAGAATTACTCTGAGGGTGACTGGAATGAGAGAACTCAGCTACGTGCCCTTGACTTTGCAGGTGGGGTGGCAGAGTGCTCCCTAAAGCCTTGTAAGTATGAAAGGTAAGAAGATTCCTTGAGTCCTGAAAATCTGCTGTTAACTCACGGATGATTTATGTAAGGAAAGCATACTGGTAAGGAGGAGGAGGAAAAAGAGGAGGAGGAGGAAGTTCTTTCTGGACAAAAAAACAAAGTGAAAGATTTCACGTAATTGAGCTGCCCAATTAAAATGGGGAGATCAAAGGAGAGAGGAATGGGAGAAGTAAGGAATGCATTCCAACCTATAAAAGATCAGGAGCAACAGGAGATAAGTCTAAAAATAATAATCAAAACCTGTTCAACCTCAATGTTTTATGAACACACTTATTATAGCACAAAAGCCGGCCAGCCAAGAGAACAGTGGGAGTTTTTGGCAAACAGCAATATCTCCAAGGCTCATTCTCCTGGTACTCAGTCTAGGTAGATGAGAAGTAAATCACCTCTCCTACCTACCTTTGCATTGGAAAATCATAGCGGACAAGAAAAAGGAGAGAAATAAGATTGGTGCTTAGATATTATGGCAAGATGGTCCACTGAAAAGGGAAAGAGAAAGCAAAAGGAAGTGGGGTGGGTGTTGAACAAGTAAGACAGACATTTTAGGATAAACTAAATTTTAATTTTAGTTATTTTAGATTTTTTTCAAAAGAAACTGAGGAAATAAAAATACAAAGAATTCAGAAGTCTGGTGTCATATTTTGCTTTTACAGTTTGAAGTGGAAAGAAATCTGAAGAGACCAAATGAACAACCTCTTAAAATTGGATTGAGGGATGGCTTTTTCCTTTGGGTACCTCCTTTCAAGGTTGAAGTATTGGTTGGGATAAAAGACTATGCCATGGATTTCCTACCAGACCTTTGACAAGTCAGTGAATGAGAAATTGCAGACTCACTGAAGTAACTAAGAGTTTTGCCATGGTCTTCAATGTTAGACCTGTGAAAATGTCATTAGTACCTCCTAACTGAGGCTTTGCCACCCTAAATTCCTTTAAACATGTGGTCCTCAATTTCTCAGTTTCTGATCTGCAAAGTGGAAATTATTTTTTTGTTTCTCACAGAAGCACTGAGGGCGACATCCAGGAAGGTTGTAAGGTGTTCAGCTACTGCACTGGTTACAGCCGGGTACATAGGCAGAGTAAAAGCTCTTATCTCCTGGACTGCTCCAAATCCTCCTATTCTGCCTTTTCCTTGGTGCTGGCAAGAAATTATAAAACCCAAATTTTAAAAAGGTGAAAAACTTTACAATATATGTTAAGATCTGTGTTCATAAATAAGCCTTGGATTACTTGTACTGTTAATGGAAGTGTCCTGGGTGAGTCCTCATGCAACAAGGAAGAAACAAGCTTAAGTTGTACCTTGTTACAATTCAGATCAATTTTTTTAGAGGTGAAAGAACGTTATAATGACAATGTCTTGCTTTTCAAATAGACCTTTGTTGCAGACCTGCTTGCTTTTTAATATTTGATTTTGCCCTTTCTTCAGTTCCCAGAATTAGTACTTATCAATCCTTTCCCCATTGTTTAATTTCCTGGAGCTCCCAATTAATGCCAGTAAAGGTTTGGCTGAAAGAAAAATACATTTTACACTGACAAAGCCTAAGAGTGTGTCTGTTCCCTAATAGAGCATATCAGCGGTCCTTGAACTTACAAACTAACTGGGATCACAGATTCTTATCCCATTACTTGGATAAGCATATGTGACCCCTTTGCTCCTGTGGGTTCTTGCTTGTATTCCCCTCTCAGCACTGTTTCCCTTTCCCCCTTCATCCCCCTCCTCCTTTCCCACTTTTTGTAATCCATTCACTCACTCCCCTTTATACACTGCTCTATGCTATCTTTTCACAGCATCTGATGGAGTGAACTCGAGTTCACGAAAGCTTGTGTCCTATACGTATCTTATTTAGTCTGTAAGACGCATCTCCGCCCTGCCTTTTGCCTTGAACTGACACCAGAGGGCAAGCAAGCAATGCCAGTGAGAAAGGAACTGAAGCAAATAAGGGCTCCTGCTGTCTGTAATTGTCTAGCATTGTAAAGTCCTGACATCATGGTCATGTTGGGAGTTTATCTCTGACACAAATTGCCACAGGAAGCATTTTGTCAAAATTTCAATATCAAAGTGGCCACAGCATATATAGCAAGCAGCTTTATTTACTTAGGAGATAAAGATAGCAGAGCTGAATGTTAAATTAGGGTGACAGTCTCTTGCTTCTGTATAAATGCCTAACGGAAGTCAGTGCATCTCTCCAAAGCCAAACATCAAAGGAAATGCATTTCACAGTGTATTCATTTTTGTGTCCTGCCAGTTGTTTAAAACATAAGAAATATAATGAAATCAGGAGCAATGCTGGGCATGCTAATTTTATGGCTTAGTTTTATAGTCATATAGTCACTTTGTATTCTAGTGTTTGACAAAATTAAAAAGACTAGATTGCATCTATTTAATATTCCCTTAGCACCACATGAGTTAACCTGTCCAATGGAAACTCTGGTGGCTTTTGTCTTTGGGCACAATGGGCACTTTTACACATGCTCCAGGGATGGGGGGTCGTGTTTTAATTAGAGTAGCTCCGAGAACCACTCTAATTAAAGCGCTGCCGCACCTCCTGTATCAGCATCCCTGTGCTTAAAAATAGGGGCAGGGGTGATGGAACTAAAGCTTGCTTGGTGAGCTCTAGATCAAGTGCCCACCACCATGTTTAAGCATGGGGACACTAATACACAAGACTCAGGAGACTGCTGGAGCATGGCATTTGCCACGCTCCAGCAGACCTCGTTAATCAAGTCTGCTCCAACACGTTGGGATTCCAGTGTCCAGAGAGCACCAAGAACACCCCTAAGCCCTGCAGTATATCTCTCCCCTCCTTGACTACTGATGTTGAAAATCTGCATAACCATTAAGCAGAAGAGCAGAAGAACTGGGAGGCTTCTCTGTCAAATTGGATTTCTGTCTCTCTCTGACAAAACTGAAGACTACTCACACAGGATTTTGGTTTAGCTTACTATAACAAAGAAGTGTGAAAGGAAATCTTAATTAAAATCCTAATTTGGACTTGTAACAGGGGGCCTGCTCGGGGCCGATCCAACTGTGGCCCACCCACCTGTTCTTGGGCCAAACACCTGCATTCTCGCCCACCATACCTTGATGTTAATTAGTTAATTGATGTTAATCAAGAGGGAGGCTGCCCATTTCCTGCCCTGATGCCAGGGGTCGCTATCTCAGACTCCTTTCCTCTCCTACACCACAGCCCAAGCCCCGCAGATGGCATCTTCATGTTCTTTCAATTACTGCCCTGTTTGTATGGGCAGCCCTCCGTTCAAAATGGCTGCCCTCATCAGGCACCTGGCGGCTGCCAGTTCCAGGCCCTTAAAGTGGCAGGCACAACCAGTGCCCTGCCACAGCACCCTATATCCCAAACCTCTGATTTCAATGACTTTCTGATCTGGGATGGTTCTATCTCAATATTGAAAAAGGATCCATTTTCAAAAATATGTAATAGAAATAATTACTATTTTATGTGTAAATATGTTCACTCAATGTATAAATAAATATGACAGACACTCTCTTTCCTAGAATCCTCTTGACTACCAGTCAGACCCTTGCTCAAACTCTTACTCAAGTCCATGGAGTAAGGACTGAATGAGGCAGTCCTAAGGACTTCAACTTTGTATAGAACTATTTTCTCATGGTTGTTATCAGCAGGGATCTGGGTTTTCAGCTTCCCATGGATAAACAGAAAATGCCAATTTTCTCCTTTACCAAGAAAAATGCAGATTTTTCATTTTAACAGAGACACATGAGGAGTTTGCTCTTTTGCAAAGAGGTCTCTGCAGGCTGGCAGAGTTCCAACCTGCAAAGGGCTGAAGGCAGTGGGAGGAGGATGGTCAGGGAAGTGGTGCCACATACATGTATATGTACATGGGTACCAGGTCCCACAGGTAAGTGGGGGACAGGGACTGAGGACCCCATAGTGAGGGAGGGAGGGAGGGAGACAGTTGGGTAGGGCAGGGCTGGGGCTGCTGGCCAGCCAGGCAGTGTGTGGGGCTTGGGGCCACAAATTGCAGCTGCAGAGTGGGCACCAGCATGAAGTGGTATGGGGTCACAGGTGGCTTGTCCAGGTGTCTGGGGGGGTGGTCAGCTCCCTGCTGCTCCACACACAGGGGGGCAGGTGGTCCAGATCTGTGTGCAGGATGGGGGTGGGTGTGGGCTGTCCGCTGTGGGCTCAGGCTCCCAACCCTGCTTCCCCTCCTGCCCCCCTGGGGCCTCTGCAGCCCAGCAGTTGGGACCCGGCACAGCAGGGCAGCACAGGGCTAGTCAGGGAAGCTCACTGTGAATGCTGCGAGCCCCACGCTGCCCCGGTGAGGATCCCCTGTCTGCCATACAACAGTGAGAGCACAACACTGAGCTGACATCCCTACTGTCTAGACATCCCTGCTGCTCTAGGGCAGACAGGGGGCATGTTATCAGGGCAGCATGGGGCTCACAGCGGTGGCAATGAGCTTCCCCACCCAGCCCTGTTCTGTCCTGCCATGCCAGGTCCCACCTGCTGGGCCATGGAGGCCCCAATGGAGGGCAGCAGGGCGGGGAGCCTGAGCCCACAGCAGGCAGCCGGAAGCTGGCCTCACCCCACCCCATGCGTAGATCTGGGGGGCAAGGGGCCCTCTTGACCACCCGGAGTGTGCACAGTGGCAGGGAGCTGGCTCCACCCCCCAAGTCCACAGCAGGCAGCCTGCACCCCCCCCCCCATGGGCTCCGCTCCAGCCATACCACACATGAGTGAGCTGCAGCAGCCACCACCTCTCACAGGTGGTGGCCAAGGCTCGGGTGCTACTAAGGGGGGCAGGGAGCTGCAGACTTGGGTCCCTCACCCCATACTGCTGGCCTGCTCCAGTAGGGTTGGGAGGGGCAGGGGCTGTGGATGGGGAGTGAGAAGCATCAGCAGGGCCCAGGGGGTTGTGAGTGGGGAGTGAGGGGCCTGGACTTGGGTCCTGGTGAGCTAAGGGGGCAGGGAGACCTGTGATTTTTCCATGATAAAAATCGCAAAATCAAATATGAAAATGTATAGGTACTTAGAATTTATTTTACTACAGTGACTGAGGCACTGGTAGGCTTCCACACTGCTTTAAAGTTGTAAATGTATCAATAAAACATTGTGTTCAATTGATACCTATATACATATGTAGTGGTATTTCATTTCAGTCATGGATCTTGGGGTTTGTATTAGTGAATTTGTGATTTTTTTTTATCAGGGAAAACTAGGATTCCTAGTTATCAGGTGTTTACAGGAAGTTATTGTAGACTTAAGAAGTGGAGCTTATTGAGAGTATTGGTTTATCATTAAACTTTCCGAAATTTAACACTGTCTCAACTAGGTACGTGGAAATCAGCCAGTAGAATCACAGACACACCTACTTGTGAATCACACATCAGGTTAATACACAATAAATGATTGACACTACAATCCCTCAGTCAGTGTATATATTTTAGTACAGTATATTCAACCTTTTCAGACACTACAAAACCTTAAGAGGAATAAGGGCCTAGTTACACAGTAATTTTGGGCAGCTCCTGGAGCTCTTAACACCTGAATTGTCCTCACATTAACAGCTGAAATTAGTTTTAAGCGCTCGTTAGGTAGCTCAAAGTTATGCCACTCCAGGGCAGGTTTATCTCTGATCTGTTTTACCCAACTTGTGTTACACTGTGGTGTAGCCACTCTAGGCTATACCTTAGTGTAAACACCCCACTCAGCCCCTCTCCCGTGCTGGCCTGGATTGGACCCACTATCTCCCCTGCCCACGCTAGCACCCCAAATCCCCACTTAGTGCCCCCCTGCCAGCCTGCCCCCACTTATTTGTGGCTGCTCATGCTGTCTGTCCTGGGGGAGCAGACAGGGGAGGGTTTGTGTGGGCAGTCACAAATAAGCTGGCAGGTGGTATGGAGAAGCCCCGGGGCAGTGGCGGGGGGAACCAGGGGAGCGCCTAGGGGATAGTGGGGGAAGCCCAGAATGGGAGGGATGGGATTATTACTTTTCAGTCCTCCAGACTCCTGCTTGCCTGAATGTGCAATGCCTCCAAACTTGAGCTAGCACTAACACCAAGCTCGAGCTAGCACTAACAACATACAATATTTGAATGGTGCACAGCATAACATATAACAAGGCCCTAGATCTAGTTCTTTAGACACTAGGTGACATATTTTTTTTTCATACTAATGCTGCTGCCCAACTGTAGTGAAGGTTGACATTTTACATCTGAATTTTTTATGAAATTTCAAATTTTGAAATGCCAAAAAGTAGAGAGAAAATTTTGAAATGTATTTTCTGTTTTTGTTTTTGACTTTTCCCTTAAGTTTTGCCTGGGTCACTTGTACCCAGAGAATTATTTGAAAATGTTTTCTGATAATAAGTTTTAGATTTCTTCCTATCACTTTTTCATCAGCATTATTTAAAATGAGCCATTATTTATATTTGTTTTATATACATACATTATAGAATAGAATTACCACACACAGAGATGGATAGATAGATCGTTAGAGACAGACAAACACATGGACACACAGACTGATAGACATTATCAGGGAAATGTTATATTGCCTCTATTTAAAGTATATGTGTGTGTGTGTGTGTGTGTGTGTGTGTGTGTGTGTGTGTGTGTGTACATACATACATATGCCCACAACCTACCTATTCTTACAGTTACTCATTGTTTCAGCCAACAATAGAGGCTGAAACAATGGCTACATCTAAGGAGAATTTTACCAAAATACAAAGTCCTATTAAAAGACAAGATTTAAAAACTAAGTACATCATCATTATTTAATATTCAAAAAATAAATGTACTCAGAGGTTTATGAAGTACGGATGTTTCATACATGATCTCCACCTACAGATAGAGAAATAGCCAAAAAACAGGCAACCAGAACATGAGTGATAATGAGTGAGGAAACAGACGGTCTGGGCACAATGTTATCTAAGAGAAACGGAAGACGTATATAAAAAGGGTAGGTAGAACCTGGAGTTGTCAGCATGAGCAAGAGTTGAAAGGATAATTTAAAACATCCTGAGAGTACAATATCAGTTACTAATTTTGAGGGGGTGAGGAAGGTCCTCTGAGTAAAAATAGAAGCATACTCTTAAAGAGATACCTACTGTACCAGGTCTTGGATACGGGATGCGACCTTCATATTGTACCCATCGATGATCCACACTTTCTTTATGAGCATAAGGACCGTTGAACACAGCTCTGATATCAGCCATGCTGTACACACATACTGCAGAGCCCTTGAATACAGAGCTGAAAGAAAATAATCATATTTACAAGGACTTAAACATATTTATAAAAGCATATTTATAAATGACATCTACATTACAGAACTGATCCAAAGTTCACTGAAGATAATGATAATGATATTCACTGACTCAGATTGCTTCGTATCTGTCCCTATACCCGATTGTTATTGTGGCTGAGTACTATTTATGTACATTATGGATTGCAGAATCACGGAATAGTAGGCTGGAGGGAACCTTAGGAGGTCACTTAGTCCCACGACTTCAAGGCAGAATCATTTCTGACTAAGTCATCCCAGTCAAGTGTCTCTTGAAAAATGTCTGTAACCTCCCTGGATAGTCTCTTCCAATGCTTAATAACCATCACTCTACATTTCTTTCTGTAATTTAAGACCACTACTCCTTGTGGCCACAGAAATGAATCCATCTCCATCCTTCAGGTATTTGAAGCCTGCTATCAAATACCCCTGGCACCCCTATACCCCACCTCATCTTTAGTTCTCCAAACTAAATAATCCTAGTTATTTTAGACTATCCTAATAAATGTCCTGGACCTCTAATAATTTCTCGTCACTCACCACTGGATTCTGCCTAATTTGTCCATATCTTTCTTGAACTGAGGAATCCTAAATGGGATACAGTACTCCAGTTGAGGCCTTACAAGTGCTATTAGAGCAGGAAAATCACTTCCCTTGATTTGGAAATGACACTACTATTAATACAGCCCACTATACTATCAGTCTCTTTTTGCAACAAGATGACACCATTGGCTTACACAGTATTGTAAGTTATCAGGTCAAAGGTTATCAGGCTATACTTAATATCATTGAGAAATAGAATTTAAAGCTTTGCTCTGTTGGAGCCTAGGCTTGTCAAATCTGTGAACATCCTGGATGCATGTTTTAACCTAGACATTGAAGGGATGTGGAGATCATGGGGCAATTGGGAGAGGTCCCAGATGATTGGAAAAGGGCAAATGTAGTGTCCATTTTTAAGAAAGGAAAGGAGGATCCAGGGAATTACAGACCGACCTCAATCCCTGGAAAAATCATGGAGCAGGTCCTCAAGAAATCCATTTTTAAGCACATGGAGAAGGCGATAATTAGAAAGAGTCAGCATGGATGCAATAAGAGCAAGTCATACTTGACCAACCCCTTTGCCTTCTATGATGAGATGAATGGCTCTATGAATGTGGGAAGAGTAGTGGATGTGATATACCTTGACTTTAGCAAGGCTTTTGATATGACCTCACTCAAAGTTCACCTTCCCTGTGAAGACTGAGGTGAAAAAGGCATTGAGCACTTCAGCCTTTTCTGCATCCTCTGCCACTAGGTTGCCTCCCCCATTTTAGTAAGAGACCCAAAACTTTCCCTGATCTTCCTCTTGGTACTGCCATACGTGCAGAAACCCCTCTTGTAACCCTTTATGTCCTTAGCTAACTGCAACCCCAATTGTACTTTGGCCTCCTGATTTCATGCCTTCATGTCTGAGAAGTATGTTTACACTCCTCTCTAGTTGCTAGTCCAAGTTTCCAATACTTGTAAGCTTCCTTTTTGTGTTTTAGCTCACTGTAGAGTTCCCTGCTAAGCCAAGCTGGTCTTTTGCCATACTTTCTACTCTCCCTGTGCAAAGGGATGGCTCACTCCTGCACCCTCGGTAAGGTTTCCTTAAAATACAATCAGCTATCCCATACTCCTTTCCCCCCCAGACTGGCATTCTAGGGGATCCTGCCCATCAGTTCCCTAAGCGAATCAAAGTTGGCTTTTCTGAAGTCCAGAGTCCATACTTGGGTGCTCTCCTTTCATCCTTTCCTTAGGATCATGAACTCAATCATCTCATGGTCACTGCTGCCCAAATTGTCATCCACTACTACAATCCCCACCAATTTTTCCCTGTTTGTGAGCAGGAGGTCAAGAAGAGCATGGCCCCTAGTTGACCTCTCTAACAGTAGCACCAGGAAGTTGTCCCCAACCCTCTCCAACAACTTCTGCTGGCTGTTTGAAGATAGCCTCATCTATTTCAACCTCTTGGTCTGGTGGTCTACAGCACATATCCACCACAACTTCACCCTTGGTGCTCTCCTCTTTGACTCTAACCCTGCGACTTTCAACATGCCTGTCTCCAGTTTCATTCTGGAGCTCTGAGCAAACATACAGCTCTTTTACATAAAGCACAACTCCCCCTCCAGTTCTCTCCTGCCTATTCTTCTTGAACCTATTCATAACTGTGCTCCAGTCACGCGAGCTCCCACCAAGTCTCTGTTATCCCAGTCGCATCATAGTTCCACAATTGTTTGCTGACTTCCAATTCTTGTTTGTTTCTCAGGCTCCTTTGATGAAGATAGTTCTATTAAATTACCCCATAGACTGTACTGTGGAGGTCCTCACAAGGGTATCTGAGTGCTACAGAATACATTATTTGCCTTAACAAGGAGAGGAGGAAGTGTTATTTTTCTACCACCTTCACCTGTAAATGAGGCTGTAGTACTATAACCTGTTTGTTATTGTAAGAGACCTTCTGCTAGATGACTCTGAGATACAATCCTGTTTAATTTACAGAGATATTCAAGATCAGCCAACAGAGGGGAATGAAGGGACTTCACAGGGAGGTGCTTAGTTCTCAGTCAAGATGTTCAAGAAGTTATGAATTTTGAAATTCAATTACATCATAAGCTAGAAAAATAAATAATATTTTTGTGAAGTTTTCATTCTTGTTTTAAACTACCTTTTGAAGATCAGGCACCTATTTAGCTACCTAGAAAAGAATATGGGAAACTAACTTTATGCACCTATTTTTGAAAACACAAGCCATGGTGATTAGCAGTCCAATACTTATTCAGACCAACTCCCTTTGTCCTGAAGGCATTTTTCCCTTAATGAAACTTTCAGGAGTAGATTTCAAGGGTGAATATAACCCTACACATACCTTGAAGTGGTGAAGACTCCATACACTAGAGGGTTTCTCTCATCTCTTGTAGAAAGTAAGAATATATCTTCTGCAATAGGAAAAGTTTATTTTTATTGAATAGCCATTAAACACTTCCACATTCACCACCTTTTTATTTGACACTTTGTAAACATACAATAAATCCTGACACTGCTTTGATTTTGAATTTTTGCCCAGTGAATTCTACTAAAGTGCTGAGTTATTCTGACTGTGAAACGGCTGATTTCTACATGGAACCAGATGAATATCTCTCCGAAGGAAGAAAGGAGAGTAAAAATAATTCTGACTGAGCTTACACTTGATTTAAATCAGCAATAATTTTGTTAATGTCAATGCAGCTGCCAGTGCTGGGAAATGTGATGATAGATTGAGGCCCAAAACTGCCGTCAAGCAAAACAAATATATAAAATGGAGTTACAGGATAAAATTACAAAAGTTGCTTCAACTTACGGAGCTCATCAAAATGTGTGTCTGCTCCCTCAGGCCCAGGTATTGAACACACCAGCCTTGCTTTAAGGAAAGTTGTCCACTTATTTATGAGGCTCCGCTGACCGCCCATATCATTCTAATTGAGAAAGACAGATAGTTTTGCTTAACAAACATTTGAGTAAAATAAAGGACTTTACCTAAATATCTGAAACATCTAATGATGCCCTTTCAAGTCATTTTTATAACCATGCTTCTTGTCTTGTGTCAAATTCGGACCACACCTATACCATCATCTGTGTGCATGAATGCACACATGTGTTTGTCTATGTGCACATGCATGTACATATATACAGCAGAATAAAGATTAAGGGGAAGAGTTTGACATAAACATTTCTCTAGAGAGAAAGGCTGAGGATAGCAGGTGCAGGACCTCCTGGAGTTAACGCTGTAGTGTGATTTGCTTCACAACATCACTGTCATTTGTTTATAACCTTGTGACTTTTACCTTTTCAGCTGGAGTATGTGAGCCTTGTTCTTCTACATTTATAGATTCACAGATTATCCCAAATGGGTTTTTCTTTTTTCCTTTAAAATTTGAGAAACACCCATTTTGATTTATTTATCCCTTTAACTAACCATTTCTCAGCACCAAGTGAAAGATTAAATGTTATCCTCTATCTTAAATGCTGTTTGTGTTGTTTTTTTGGTCATGTCATAGGTGAAATGCCCCAAACCACCTGGCTCCTTCCCCTGTAGCTTCTTACTCTCATTAGAGTAATTTTTGCAATCTGCAGTTCTTTTGGAATTGTTTATAAACAGAATAATCACAGATTATTTTGGACATAGGTCTCAAAGACAAAATACTACACTTTCCTGTAGTTATATAAATGAAAATATTGTGCTGTTGGTCATATGCATATAAAGCATAGGGAGGTACATTAGAGGGAAGTTCATCATATTACTCATTTGAGTCAATGTTCTCTTTTCACTATTTTTCTATATTCTCCTCTCGATGATTTCCATTGTGCTGCATCAAAGAACCTAAAAGACTCTGCTAAATGATTTAAGGATTTTTCTGAAGACATAAGAATTATGATATCTGTTCCAGGGCACAGCTTGCAAATTTTGTGGTATAATGTAACAGAGAGCCTGGAGCTCCCTATTCCTTTAAGGTAAAAGCAGCCCAGTGAAGGAGCACTGCAGGATAGGATGGTGCAGCAGCTGCAGGTTGCTGGGGGAAAAGGGTGATTAGTAGGCACCTGCAGGCAGCCCAGGCAGTCTGCTGACTGGAAGGGTGCAGGGCCCCAGAAGGATATAACCCTGAGGCTTGAGCTAGCAGGCTGATCTCTCCCTGGCTGCCACAGGGTGAAGAGCTCCAGCAGCAGGGCTCCTGATGGGACTGCAGTACTGCATATGGATCCCCAGTGAGGCTAGGGGAGCTCACTAGGCTATGGCCCAGGGCTGAGAGGCTATCCTAGTTGAGGGGTGAGAGAATGTTTTCCCCCTTAAAGGGGCAAAGGGCTGCTTCCCTTTGTGTTTATGTTATAGCCAAGACTTTAAGGCTTATGTTAGTTGTATACCAGTGGTTTGGGCTGGCACTGTTGGAATGGTATACAGAAGTCCCATTGGTACCCATGGGGAACGTGATTGCCTTGAGACCTGTCAGGCTATTGAGCCCAGAGCGGGCAGAGACTGAGGCCACAGAGCCAGACATAGGCCAGGGGCCCAGTACCTGAGAGGGGTGCAAACAGACAGGGGCCTGGAGCCTAGAAGACAGAGGCCAGGGGCCCAAAATCTGAAAGAGACAAACCAGAGCTAATGCCTCAAAGCCAGATCCAATACAGTGGGCACTGGCTAGAAGGCCTAGCTGAGAGTAAAGGGACGGCGGCCAAAGTGGCTGAAGCCCCAACAAGAGAACAGTGTGATAGCAACACCCAAGAGGCTTGGGCTGTGGCATAGGAGAGGTCTGGAGCCGTGTATTTAGCCCCCAAGGTGTTAGGTGCCCTGCAGCAGCACAGTTGTAGAGAGGCCCAGCTAGGGGCTTAAGACCAGAGAGGCCCAGCGAAGGACCTGGGCATAGATCGGTACAGTGCTGAGAAATCCCAATGGGGGACCTGTTGGACTGGGGCTATGTGAAGGCCCGTGGACAGTGACCCTATTATTATCATTATTATCATTATTATCATTATTGTATTTCCATCAAGGCGTGGCAGACGAGAAGGCAAGATGTCTTAGGGGCTAAGCAGGGCACAGTCACAGAGCCATCAGGGGGTATCAAAGCTATCCCTGGAATCCCAACGTGCTACACACAATCAAAATGATACAATCATAAAGATAAAGAAAAGTACATAAGTAGTACATAGCTCTGAGCTTTTCCTTCACTTGTCTGTTCTGATGACTCCAGCTCTGTATACCAATTAGTGTGCTAAATAGGTTGTTGGAGGATGCTGCAGACAGTCAAAAGACTTTTAAATAATTTCTAAGTAGCTGTGTGGAGGTTGGAGGGTTGTCGGGAAAGAAAAGTTTGTTGGGAGTGAAATGAGAAAAACTGCCTAGGTTTTAGTCAGGTCCCCTCAGACATTCTGCTGCTATTGTAGGCTGGAAAATACATCACAGAGACTATGACTCAGCCAAAGAGTTTAAGCAAGTGATTATCATGAAGCCCTTAAGTAGTCCCACCAGTTTCCTCAAGTCAAGGACAAGGCCAAGTACTTTCTGGATAGGGTTTTCAGCAAGTAATTGAAGATATGCAACATATTTCCATCAATTGAATAGGAACACACAAGGAGAAAGGACAGTGTCATGTGGCCAGTAAACTCTTCACATACTACTACAAAATGCTTCATGGCCCACAAAGTTTAAGTTTCTGGCACAGAAATTAGAGATGGAAAATAGCCTCTGCCTCATCTGGGTCATTCAATTCAAAGCATAGCTGCAGAACCTCTCTTCCAGTAGCACCTAGTAGCACCACCACTTGCAAAGGAAGGGTCAAGAGTCAGAAAAAGAATGGGGCCCAGGGGAGACATCAAGAAGGATTATTTAAAAAAAAATATTATGCAGACAACACTGTACATCTCCATTCAATCGTATCTGGATAATGCAGTTTCTGTGTTCCTGTAATGCCTGACTAGCTTCTTTGTTGAAAAGCTGATTTTAACTGTCCGGAAAACAGAATGATAACATGATGAAGCTTGTGACTGCTCTATCTGCTGAGCCTAACTCATGATAAGAAGGTTTATGGCCTATGCATAAAATTGGAAGAATACTTTGCTTCTGGATTTGCAGATAGCAACGGAGGCTCTTACTGCTTTTGAGACCTGTGCTTATCTAAATAAGTGGTGGTTTCCCCTCATGATATAGACACCACCATGTTTCCTCTAAATGAAATTGTCAGCTCTAGAAGTTCGCTCGCAAGCATCAGCTACAGAAAAACATAGCTATTCTACCTGCTGATTGCAGTGTGTCAACATGAGTGCATTAGTCCTGTGCTCTGTGAACAGCACAGGTATCTATCAACTTCCAATTTTAATGCAAGGCACTGGCTCTGACCGATAAAGCTGTGCTCACTTTGGGAATACTGTTATTTCAGTAAATACCTCCCTTGTTCAGTCATCACCAAAGTTGAAATTGTAGTCCTGCTGAAATTAACCAAGGCATTTTTGCTGGCAGTCCTTAGATTCTCCCACATGAGCATTAAAAGTTTCTGGTGTGGGATTCCCAATCCATCACAGCTCATCTTTACTGACTTCATAGTCTGTTCAAAGCATGCCTCAGTCAAACATCTGCTAGAGATGGGGGTGATATATGGAAAGGTGACTATTATCAGTCTCTCTTTTGTGGCCAACTTGACATAATATCTGATTGTATTTGATCATTGCTATAATGATGTGGTAAGATGATAAAGTTCATAAATGCAGAGGCTGAGTAAAGAGCTGACTGCTAAAAGCGGGGAACAAGAAGGGAAGAGAGTAAGGAAATGAGAGGAAAAAGATCAATAAAAGGAAGTCCAAGAAGAGGGGAGCAGAAAGCCCAGAAGAGGAAAGGATGCAGAACAAAAACAGTAAGTGGATTTTCATGTGGTGTAAATCTGCATTGTAGCACTAATTCCAATGAATCTACATAGATTTACAGCAGTTGAAAATATGACCCAGCATTCCTAAAGAGGCCTGGACCATGAAAAAAAATCTTGTCTGAAAGAAAGCAGTGGTAAGGATGCAAAAGAATAGCTACTGAAATATGAATAGCTTAGTTTTCCATTGTAAAAGTCATGGCCATCCTAGCTGCAACGCACGAACAGTCCAAAGGTATCTGAAATCTTATCTCCATAAGTATCACTGTCTATGGCTCCCAAACACACTGGATTAGTAGTGTTTACAATAAACTTTGTTACATTACAGAAGAAAGCACTTAAGGCTGCATATTTCTTTCTGTATATAAATAAAGATTTAATTAGCACTTACTGCTTTGTAATCTCACAAGCTGTAACAGATACCAATGCTTCCGCCTGAAATGCCGTCTAGAATATAAAGAAGTGACTGTAAACTCTGTTACTCATGTGCGGCTGGGAGTTACAGGCAGCTTTAAATTAACTGCCAACTGGAAGCAGAAAGTTTAACTTGAGAGACTGTTATAGTAGGATTAAAATAAAAGACTGCACATAAATTAACTAAGGAATAAAGGAAAACATACCCATTAAGATGTCTAAAGGGATTAAAATGGTGGAGTACATAAAGACATCCCAACTATGTCTTTAACTATTAGAGTTGGTCAATGTAAATCAATAGAACATTTTTTTCTGTTTGAAAATGGAGTTTCATACAATCCAAATGCTTCGCTGGACTATGTTAACTTGCCAAAAAATAGACAGACATTTCAGTAGTTTCATTCTGAAAATCATTTTTATTAATTAAAAATTTAAAATTTTAGCTTTTTATTATGTCTGAGAAGGCAATCAGATTTTGAGATTTCAGAATTCCCAGTGGAAAGGAACACCCAGTTGCCATGACTTCTGGTAACTGTTCAGCTATTTGAGGCAACAGTAAAATAAAGACAGGTGTGGTAGGAAGTAGAGATGCTTTCATAAAAATCAAGAAGGCATGCTAGTTAAAGGCCAGAATAAAACATTTGTAAAAGAGA